ATATGTATATAAATTCATACCCCTATCTCTCTATTTATCTAGAGAATAGACTAACCTATATACATATATATACATATATATATATATATATATAATTATAAATATATATTTATATATATATATAAATTATATATATATATTTATATATATATATGTTTTTATACTCCTATCTCTCTATTTATCTGGAGAATAGACTAGCCTACCAACTACAATATTTTCCGGTGCAGCGCTGGTTGTGTGGGCCGCGTCGCAGGTGGTGCACTATGTGACGATATTCAAACGTCAGGTGTTCATGGGCGGCAGCTTCTCCACAGCTGTCAAGTGTTTGATCATCACACAAGAAAACTCAGCTCCGGTGTGTGCGTGTATCTATGGGTGTATTTGTGTAGTATTTGGGTGTGTTTGTGTGTATATTTATAGGCGTACTTGTCTGTGTGTTTGTGTGTTTGTGTGTGTATTTATGGGTGTTTGTGTGTGCGAGTGCGAAGATATCGACGGTCACGCGAGTGTGAGGTTTTAGAGAACCACTCAATCCAAGAAGAGTTCTGATATTTTGCACAGACTCATGGGTGTGTTCAATGGTGTGTATTTAGATATACAGAAGGACACAAACATGCTGTACGCTCTTTGGTAGATATAAATAGACATACTAACAGACAGGGGAGCTGGCGACATAGTACCTCCACGCGGGTGATATCTTCTGCCCATAGCGTTTGTCTGTGTTTGCTGCAATACAATAGCAGTAGATAGCTATCCTGGAGTGAGATGTGCACAGGAGCGTGTTCTTCTGTGTTGATATATCTTATGCCTGCGTATGGTCGCCCTGCCCGTGCTCGTTGCCGGTGACCCATTCATAGTTGAGCGTAGGTGCCTGCGTGTGAATTGGCCCTGTCTCAGTGTCCAGGGCTGTAGCGTAGGACACACTTCGGGGCTCAACCAAACTCTTGGTAAAAGGTTTGCTTGCCCGTGGCATGTGCCGTCAGTCTGGCACACGGTTGATGTGCAATTGGTAGGTAGCTCTGTCGAGTGGACTAGAGACCTCTGATATCTAATTCACCACTACTAAACTACTGCATCATTGTAGCAGGATCTGTCCGCACTGTCCACACGCATTGCATATCCCGCATATGGGCGTACCAGTCGTGTCAGCCGCTGTGTTTATGTGTACAGTTCTCAGCTGTTTATAGTAGTAGCACCTACCACTCTCTCGTACTGTTGGTCACTTCGCTTGTGTGCCTATGGGCGTACCAGTCGTGTCAGCCGCTGTGTGTATGTGTACAGTTCTCAGCTGTTTAAAGTAGTAACATCTACCACTCTCTTGCACTGTTGGTCACTTCACTTGTGTGCCTATGGATAGGCCAGTCGTGTCAGCCACTGTGTGTATGTGTACAGTTCTCAGCTGTTTAAAATAGTAACATCTACCACTCTCTCGCACTGTTGATCACTTCACTTGTGTGCCTATGGGTGGGCCAGTCGTGTCAGCCGCTGTGTGTATGTGTACAGTTCTCAGCTGTTTATAGTAGTAGCACCTCCCACTCTCTCGCACTGTTGGTCACTTCCTTTGTGTGCCTATGGGCGTACCAGTCATGTCAGCCGCTGTGTACAGTTCTCAGCTATTTATAGTAATAGTACCTACCACTTTATCTCTGTGGTGTTTATACTACACTGTTGATCACATCCCTTCTACTTCACAGGTGGAGGAATGTGGTATGGAACTGTTCTTTATAGTCGCGGAGATGGTCAAGGAAGAGCTACAGCGCAAAGCCACAGAGAAGATGGAGCTTCTCAACAAACAGGCCGATCAACGCCTGTCTGCCTCCAGCACAGAGAGAGTGGCATATCAACACCACTTGGGTATGGGAGAATAGCAATTGCGAAGATACTGCAGGGGTTGGGGAACCGCTTGTTTTGACACGCGTATACACGCACGTATACACGCACATACACAAACACACACACACACACACGGAAACACACAAACACACACGCACACAAGTATATATATATATATATATATATAATAATACATACACACACACACACACACACACACACACACACACACACACACACACACACACACACACACACACACACACACACACACACACGTACGACGACGACGACGACGACGACGAGGAGGAGGTAG